CCAAACATGCAGGCTGATGGAGCAGGCAGAGTGTAGTGATGGGCTGTGCTGTGTTAAATGCCAACTGCAACCTAGGGGATTCATGTGCCGCCCTGCTTTGGGAGAGTGTGACCTCCCAGAGTATTGTGATGGTTCCTCTGGAGAATGCCCTCAAGACAGCTACAAGCAAGACGGTACACTGTGTGAGAGAATCTACTATTGTGCTGGAGGCCGGTGTAAGAACCCTGATAATCAGTGCATGGATATATTTGGGTTCTCTGCAAGGTCTGCCCCAGAAAACTGTTACATTTCAAGGAACAGCAAAGGGGACCGGTTTGGAAACTGTGGTATTACAAACTCGCCTAAGTTAACATATTTGAAGTGTGCAGATGATGATGTATTTTGTGGGAAACTTATATGCACAAATGTTAGACAGTTACCACCAATCAAACCAAGTCATACACTGATGCAGATTCCTCACAAAAATGACTTCTGCTGGAGCATGGATGCCTATAACATTACTGATATCCCGGATGACGGAGACGTGCACACTGGCACTCTTTGTGCCCCACACAAAGTCTGCATGAATCACCTCTGCACTGATAATTCTGTACTTATGTACAACTGTGAACCAATGGAATTGTGTAACGGGAAAGGAGTTTGCAACAATTTAAGGCACTGCCACTGTGAGGCTGGCTATGCGCCTCCTAACTGCAGAGATCCAGGAAATGGTGGTAGTGTGGACAGTGGTCCGCCTACTGCACTAATTGAAATTCAAAGTGGAGATGTAAGTGACAGTCCTATGCATCGTAGTGTTGACTTTGGAAAGATAAGCAAGATAATTTTCATACTCCCTGCATTTCTTTTACTATTTTTGTTAATTGCAATATTTTGCATTAGCATCAGGACTGGACTTGAGTCAGTACAGACCCCAGGCCGCACTTCAGAGGACAGTTCAGAGGAAACCAGTAGTGAAGTATTCATAATGGAATTCCTACCAGTGGGGATACAAGAGGACGTACCAGAGGAGGGCTCAGAAGCAGCCCCTCCACCAGAAGAGGCCCCTCCACCAGAAGTGGCCCCCCAACCGGAAGAGGCTCCACCACCTGAAGCCCCACCGCCCGAGGCCCCACAACCAGAGGCCGCACCACCAGAGGCCCCACCACCGGAGGCCCCACCACCGGAGGCCCCACCACCGGAGGCCCCACCACCGGAGGCCCCTCCACCTGAGGCCCCACCACCCGAGGCCCCACCACCCGAGGCCCCACCACCAGAACCCCCAGGAGAGACAGCACCATAAGAGGTGGCAGGTGAAAGACAACAGTAACCCAAGGCAGAAGTGGATTGGAGGAAGGATTAAAAAATACCAAATACTTCAAGCACTGAGTGGGAATGAGAGAGAAGCAAAAGTGAAGTGAGAATTGATGGCTCCTGTGGCTCTGACTGGATTATATAGTCTACAGAAAGATACTAACATGGGAACAAGGAACCCTTTGCTTTCAATATTCATTTTAGTAATTTGGTTATACTTTCATATATGAAATCATATATAACATTTCTATATGGTTGCTTTTTTCCCATTTAATGAAACAATTTTTTATAAGCTTTTCTCATGAATCATACCTGTCTTTCGTTTCAGCCAGTTTCTAATCTGAAATTATTTTTCAGGTCACACTATGTTCCATCTACATACTTGCATACATAGTATTATCTGTATCTAGAACTATCACTGGATTATTCATCCCACTCACAATATTGTTTTAAATGTTACCTATTGAGTAATCTGATTTGTCCGACAGTTCCTTTTCATGAAAGAAAGTTAATTTAAAATAAATAAGCTATTTTCAGATGAAGCCTCACTTCACACTTCATGCATCCTAGTCCTTGGGACTTCTTCATTTTGGGGGTCTCCGGAAGGGGCTACCTCTGCTCCAGGGTGCTCTGATCACCCTGGGCCTGGGCCCATGGGGGAGGGGGAGCAACCTAGGCAAGAAGCAACCTTGTCCAGTGCCAAGTTCCGCTGGAAGTATTCATTTTCCTTTCTTCTGGTTTTGTACTTGATTTACCGTACTTATTTCTCATTTCCTTTTTAAAGTTTACATATTGTTGACTGACAGTCCAAAATAACAGAGCTTTGGAGGGTAGGTAATTGACTGTAAAGATAGCACAAAGCACGTATAACATAACATTACCTACTCCGTCCTAAATACGTTACAAACATTGTCTTAGTTTAATTCTCCCATCTGCCTTATCAGACCTCCATCTCGTATATGAGGAAATAGAGACTGGAGAGTTTTGCTCTAGAGCCACTAAGGGGCAGAAACTGCATCTCACCCCAGGTATGACCGAACCTACATTCTCCACTGCCTCGTGAGCCTTTTCCTTTAAGTAAAAAAAGTGAGTGGGGAAACAACTGACATGTCTTTAATTCCCCAGGGCGTGCGTGGCTTCTTCCTCAGTGACTCTAATGGAACTACAGCCTTACGTATGGACGTGATCTCCCTCAGCAACCTACCACATCGTGCAGTCATTATCGATGAAAGTGTCTTTTCCCCTATTACAACCTGACATCGTGGAGTGGCAGGTTTGCGTTCTTTCTCCTCAGCTCTGAGAGCCCAGCTCATTGAAGGTGCCCAGTAAATGCTGAACAAATGAACAACTTGACCAGGGCCAATCTTCAAGTAGGAGGGTAACCTCTATGGATGCCACCTGCTAGTCCCTAGGCGTGGCACAACCGAAACCTTGCTCAGGTGCAGTGTTGCTACAGGTTGAGTTCCTGAGCATCAGTCTCTGATGGTACATTTGCTGAGTCTCTCTTTGAACTGCCTACCCCTACGTGAGCACAAAAGAGCAAACAGAAGAAGGATAAGACCTGGCTTCTGCCTTCCAGAAGCTTATGTTAATTACTTTTGGTGGAACAAAACTGAACTTCAGAGCAAAATCCAAAATCAAGCCTTCAGTTATGTAAGTTTCCTGGCCACAAGATTTGCTGGTAACCATGTCTCCGAATGCTGTATGCCAGAAGGTCACGATCTGGGGTGAAAGCATGCTATTAGTTGGTAGTCACCTGAGAGCTTTGAGGACAAGAGGGAAACTGGGTAACTGAAGCTCTCCTAGTGTAAACTTGTCATTAGAGACTTCTGAAAAAGATGTGGAGGATTTCTGCTGAGGAGCACTTCAGTGGAGAACAGAAGCCATAACCTTCCTAAGAGCACACGCTGATGATGACTATGACAAAAGCTAGTAAGCTAGTAAGTTTTAAAACAACTTAAGAAATACAAGGGAATCATGATTTAGATATGGGGTAATTATGCTTAGCTAATTGAAAGGTGTTCTTTAAGGACCACAACTCAGGTAGATAGGGGCAAACTGGCCAGAGCACCATAAGAAGAGAAAGGAAAGCCAGAGTGGAGGAGCTCCGTGATTCTTCTCCAAGGTATTTCTAAGTGGGCTTAGGAGATTAGCTTCATTCCCAGAATATTTCTGCAGTGATTCAGGACCCGCACCCCAGGGACAGCAACCCAGAAATAACAGCAATATCACAATCATAAAGGTCCTCTCCAAAAGGTCCAAGGCCCACACTGGGTTCCCAAGCCTGAGGATCCCGCACTAGGAGGATAAGCCCCCAGAACTTCTGGCTCTGAAAACAGAAACAAACACAGGGAGTCGTGCAAACACGGTGAGAGAGAGGACTATGTTCCAAATGAAGGAACAGGGCACGACCTCAGAAAACGAGCTAAATCAAGAAGAAATAAGCAATCGGTCCGATAAAGAATTCAACATAATGATCATAAGGATGTTAAAAGAACTCGGGAGAGTGCTGGATGAACAGGATAAGAAGTTAGAAGTTTGTAAGAAAGAGACAGAAAATACAATGAAGATACAAACGGAGATGAAGAATACAGAAACTGCAATGAAGAGTAGAGCAGAAGATTTAGTGAAACGGGTCAGTGATCTAGAAGACAAAGTAGGGGCAATTAACAAAAAAACCGAGAAAAAAAAAAGAGCCCTCAGGAACCAGAAAAGAAAAAGAAAGAAAGGAAATCCAAATTAGAATGGAAGAAGTAAAACTGTCACTGTTTGCAAATGACATACTATACCAAGAAAATCCTAGAGACTACTGTTCTTATTAGAACTAATAAGTGAGTACAGTAAAGGTGAATTTCTATACCCTAATAAAAGTATCAAAAAGAGAAATTAAGAAAGCAAAACCACGAGTGAAGTATCACCTCACACCTGTCAAATTGGGTTTTCATCAATATCATCAAAAAGATAAGAATTCACAAATGTTGGTAAGAATGTGGAGAAAAGGGAACCTTTGTGCACTGTTGGTGGGACTGTAAGTTGGTTCAAGTCTATGCAAAACAGTATGGAGCGTCCTAAAAAAAAATCAATAAAACTACTGTATGATTCAGCAATTCTACTTCTAGGTATTAACCTGAAGAAAATGAAAACACTAATTTGAAAATGTATGTACCCTAAAGTTTATTGCAGCATTATTTACGATATCCGAGATATGAAAGTAACCATCAGTAGATGAATGGGTAACGTAGATGTGTGTGTGTGTGTGTGCAACACACACACATTCATCCAATAAAAAAATGAAATCCTGCCATTGGCAACAACATGGATGGATCTACAGACTACTTTGCAAGCGAAATAAGTCAGACAGAGAAAGACAAATACTGCGACATATTACTTCTATCTGGAAGTTAAAACACATACACAATGAAAACAGACGCAGAGAATAAACCGGCAGTTTTCAGAGAGAAAGGAGGTTGCAGGGGCAAACAGATGATGGGATTAAGAGGTACAAACTTCCAGTTGTAAAATAAATAAGCCATGTGTATGTACTATACAGCATAAAGAATATGGTCGATATTCTTTCAATAACTTTCGGGACAGACGTCTGTAAATGTCAAACCACTATGTAGTATACCTGAAACTGACATAAAGCTCTCTGTTACTTGTATCTCAAAAAAAAAAAAAAGAAAAGAAAATGAAAAAAAAAAGTCAGGTAGATATCTGGGAATCATTCAATAAAACCAGTTTAGGATTTCACAACATCTGACAACAAAATTTACACAGATTTAGCCAATATGGAAGTTGTACAGACTATTTTAAACTCTTAGTGGCTGTCTTCATGTTTGACCCTCAGGACTATGAGACCACGTTAAAGGCAGGAAGCAAAGGCTAGGACAGCTACGCGAATGAACTTGCTCTGAAAGAGTGACCGAGAAATGAACATATTTATAAATTATCAGGTGAATCTTAACATGTGTGGAAACCCCAAAGTCTGGGGATTGGAGGCTGAAGCTCTTTAGGATAGACCACAGCAGGGCAGTGACCAGTTTCAGTGTGGGCAGGAGAGAGAAGGTAGAGTAACTCGAGTCTGAAATCTCCAGGTTCAAGGTTGAGTGTTCTGCATTTTGTGTGACTGCGTCTACAGAGAGCACTCTTTTGCCTGAGTGATGTCTCCCCGTGATGTCTGGAGGATTCTGAGGAATGGCTGGTTACACGTTCCAATAATCTGTGTTGGTAGCCACTCATGACCCAGCCAGCTGCTGCCCCAGGAGATTCTGACAGTGACTTCTTGCCATCCTTTACCTGCCTTCCCTGGGTGGCTGTTGTCCTCTCTGTGTCCCTGAGGCCAGTGGAGGCCGAGGCCCTTCCCTTAGTTGCCCAAAGCACAGCCAAGTCCAGGCTCTGGATTTGTATCCAGACTTGGGGGAAACAAAGGGACATTACAGTGTGGAAAAGAACACATTTGGATGTAGCCAATATTAATGTTCCGGGAATCCAGAGGTCATGCCCCTCCCTGGGAGACTTGGATAAGTCTTCCCGTTCTTTGGACGGGATGTCCGCAGCCTGACATCTCTTCTTGTCCAGGAAGGACTGCTTTGGGGAATATCCTCATAACTTGGAGTGAAACTGCACTCTCTTCCCTGGGCTCAGTTGAAAGAAAAAGTAAAAGATTTATGTTAAACACAGGTGGTATCATCAGCCTCCCAGGGAAGCAACTGTGCACTAAACAAAGTTTTACAGTACTTTGCAAAATTAAAAAAAATCTTTACTCTAAAAATTAAAAAAAACAACTCCTTGTGTTTACCAGCTTAATTTCAGAATACAAATCTGCTGCTTTCCTTTGGGCAGATACGCTCACTGAAATGTTTTCTCAAAAGCAGGCGCAGGCTTCCTCCAAGAATGATTGCAAAAGGCTGACTATTTAAAATTAATCTTCCCCCTGCTTCTGGACATTAAGCTCTAAAAGCTTTTGAACTAAGGAAGAATAGGAAAGAA